CCGTTTCCGGACAGATCCGGTGGATCCGGTGGATCCTCCGACGAATCCCAAACCGGCGCCCTCGCTTGAGACATCCTCACAAAACCGGCCCCGGGGGAGGTGCCCAGAGGAGCCCAGAGCGGCCTCCGGCACCGTTTCCGGACAGATCCGGTGGATCCGGTGGATCCGCCGACGAATCCCAAACCGGCGCCCTCGCTTGAGACATCCTCACAAAACTGGCCCCGGGGGCGGTGCCCAGAGGAGCCCAGAACCCCTCCGGCACCGTTTCCGGACAGATCCGCTGGATCCGCCGACGAATCCCAAACCGGCGCCCTCGCTTGAGACATCCTCACAAAACCGGCCCCGGGGGAGGTGCCCAGCCCAGAGCGGCCTCCGGCACCGTTTCCGGACAGATCCGGTGGATCCGCTGGATCCGCTGGATCCGGTGACGAATCCCAAACGGGCGCCCTCGCTTGAGACATCCTCGCAAAACCGGCCCCGGGGGAGGTGCCCAGAGGAGCCCAGAGCGGCCTCCGGCACCGTTTCCGGACAGATCCGGTGGATCCGGTGGATCCGGTGGATCCGCCGACGAATCCCAAACCTGCGCCCTCGCTTGAGACATCCTCACAAAACCGGCCCCGGGGGAGGTGCCCAGAGGAGCCCAGAGCGGCCTCCGGCACCGTTTCCGAACAGATCCGGTGGATCTGGTGACGAATCCCAAACCGGCGCCCTCGCTTGAGACATCCTCACAAAACCGGCCCCGGGGGAGGTGCCCATAGGAGCCCAGAGCGGCCTCCGGCACCGTTTCCGGACAGATCCGGTGGATCCGGTGACGAATCCCAAACCGGCGCCCTCGCTTGAGACATCCTCACAAAACCGGCCCCGGGGGAGGTGCCCAGAGGAGCCCAGAGCGGCCTCCGGCACGTTTCCGGACAGATCCGCTGGATTCGCTGGATCCGCTGGATCCGGTGACGAATCCCAAACCGGCGCCCTCGCTTGAGACATCCTCACAAAACCGGCCCCGGGGGTGGTGCCCAGATGAGCCCAGAGCGGCCTCCGGCACCGTTTCCGGACAGATCCGGTGGATCCGGTGACGAATCCCAAACCGGCGCCCTCGCTTGAGACATCCTCACAAAACCGGCCCCGGGGGAGGTGCCCAGAGGAGCCCAGAGCGGCCACCGGCACCGTTTCCGGACAGATCCGCTGGATCCGGTGGATCCGCCGACGAATCCCAAACCGGCGCCCTCGCTTGAGACATCCTCACAAAACCGGCCCCGCGGGAGGTGCCCACTGCGATCGTCGCCCTGCTTTGCTCTCGGTTAGCGCGGGTAGCATATGGATATATGCATGATATAAGCGTGGTTATAACCATGCTAAGTGCACACAAAGCATGCCAACCGTTTAGGCAACCATGCTAAATGGATAGCACATTACGGTCACGGATAGCACACTAAGCTAACCACTTAGCATCAACCTCGTTATACACTTAGCATGGTTCCCAGTTCCGCTTAGCATGGTTAGCTAAGTCACTTAGTTTACTGTTTAGATCGGTTAGCTAACCAGGTTAGGGAAACAGGTTGGACAGATCAGCTAAGTAGGTTAGCGCGCTAATGTGTTATGTGATTTTTGCATGACATATATCGTTTTTTCGGTGGTGGAGTTGTGTTTTTATATGTGTTTTGATTTTTTTTTCAGTTATCCATGTTTTTTTTGGCCTGCGCGCTTTGTGTTTGCATTGTTATGTGTTGTTTTTTTTGTTTGTTTGTTCCTAACGTTCAACGATGTGATGGCGCTTGGTTTGTCCTTCATGGCTTTTGAAAATAAAGAAGCCCCCGCGCAAGTAACATGCAGCATGAACCGTCGGTTGCTCTCAAAGCCCCTTGAGGCTCATGGGAGCAATGAACTTCCGCAATGGAAGGCACGCGTGTTCTTACATCCGCACGAGCGGCAGCAGTAAAACATATGTTTGTGCATGGAAATCTGAAGGCAGGTTGCGTGGATGCTGTCCTGTTTGGGCAAGCTGCCATGGGAAAAAGCCCATGGGGCCAGGGCCTGGGGGATGGTCCTGTTCTGTGAGGTACGTCCTGAAGGGGTTTCCCAGGGCGAGGTCAAGTCATGATCTGAGTGGCCCCGAAGCCCCTTAAAGCGAGTTCCACCACAACAAATTCAACTAATTCGAAAAAGGTGCGCCCCAACTAATTCAACTAGTTCAACTAACTCCGACCTGCGCGCATCAACTAATTCAACTAGTTCAACAATGCCCGAATGCACCCCAACTATTTCACCTGACTCAACCATGTTCGAAGTGCGACCCAAGCAATATTCAACGTCCTCAAATCGAGAACTCTTAATCTTAACCATCCGAAAAAACATGTTAACCATACATAACAAATACATAATAGATTATGCTAATACATTATGCTAATACACTATGCTAACACACTACGCATAGGGTATAGCATAGTGAATAGCATAGTGTATCGCATAGTGTATAGCATACTGTATAGCATAGTGTATACCATAGTGTATATCATAGTGTATATCATAGTGCATAACATTGTGTGTCAGCATAGTGTATAGCATAGTGTATAGCATACTGTGTTAGCATAGTGTATATCATAGTGTATATCATACTGTATAGCATAGTGTGTTAGCATAGTGTATATCATAGTGTGTAAGCATATTGTATAGCATAGTGTGAAGCATCGTTGGTAGCATAGTGTATAGCATAGTGTATAGCATAGTGTATAGCATGGTGTAAAGCATACTGTGTTATCATAGTGTATAGCATAGTGTGTTAGCATATTGTATAGCATAGTGTATAGCATAGTGTATAGCATAGTGTGTTAGCATAGTGTGTTAGCATAGTGTGTTAGCATAGTGTGTTAGCACGTACACTATGATAATACACTATGCTATTACACTACGTTCATACGCAACGCGAATACACTACGCTAACACAGTATGCTAGCACACTCTGCTAATACACTATGCTATCACCCTGTGTCAATACACTCTGCTAATACACTCTGCTATCACTCCATGCTAGTACACTATGCTAATACGCTATGCTAATACACTATGCTAATACACTATGCTAATACACTATGCTAATACACTGTGCTAATACACTGTGCTAATACACTATGCTAATACACTATGCTAATACACTATGCTAATACACTATGCTAATACACTATGCTAATACACTATGCTAATACACTTCAATACATTACACTAACAGATTGATACACTTTGCTAATACATTATCACTAAATGAGTGCTTCCGCCATGTTTAGAATTGTAGATCGTTGTGTCAACGTCCTGCCGTGCGATGGACACCGTGCTAATACATTATGCTAATACACTATGCTAATACACTATGCTAAAACACTACGCTAATACACTATGCTAATACAGTGCATACACTGTGCTAATACACCATGCTGATCCACTAATCTAATACACTCTACTAAGACATTGTGTATCATGGCATCGACGTCTGACCGTGCGGTGGAGACTGTGCTTATGCAAATACACTATGCTACTACACTGTGCTAATACAGTATGCAAATACACTACGCTAATACACTAAGCTGGTACACCATGCAAATACGCTGTGCTAATACATTGTGCCAATAGTATGCTAATACTTTTACCCTTGTGTATCATTGTGTCTCGCTGTGCTAATAAACTATGCTAATACATTACACTATGCTGACACACTATGCTGATACACTACGCTGATACACTATGCGAATACACTTAGCTAATACACTATGCTAACACACTATGCTAACACACTATGCTAATACACGATGCTAATACACTATGCTTATACACTATGCTAATACACTATGCTAATACACTATGCTACTACAGCGCAAACGCTATGCAAAATTACTACGCGAATACACTCTACTAAGACATTGTGTATCATTGTGTCATTGTTTGCCTTGTGCGTTGGACATTATGCTAAAAAACTATGTTGAACACACTATGCTAATACACTATGCGAATACCCGATGCTGATACACTATGCTAATACACTATGCGAATACACTATGCTAGTACACTATGCTAATACACGATGCTAATACACTATGCTAACGCTATGCTAACACACTCGAGCACATTACTCTAACAGTTTTACCCTTGCGTAGCATTGGGCTAATAAACTATGCTAACACACTATGCTAATACATCATGCTATTACATTATGCTAACAACTATACTAATCCAGTCGCCGATGTATGCCTAGAGTGTTGGTTGGATTGCAGTGCCATTGCAGGGCATTCCAGAGCCTTTTGTAAGGTATCCCAGGGCCGCTTGCAGGGCATTGCAAGGTATTGCAGGGTGGTTGAAGCCATATTGGGCCTTCTTCGAGCGCTCTTGGGCCACCATAGGGCCTCTCGGAACTCTCCGACGCCTTCTTGGGGGTATCTTGGGCGCTTGCATGGGGGCCTCTTAGGTGCTCTTGGGGCTGTTTTTGGCCGCCTTGGGCCGCACGTGGCCACTCTTGGCGAGCAAATTGCCATAACCATTTGCGCCCAGGGGGCAGGGGTGGAGAAAGCGCGCGCGAGGCATCAATGCATCGGGGCTTCAGGGCCCATGTGTATCAATGCATGTGTGTGTGTGTGCGTGTGTGTGTGTGGGGGGGGGGGGGGGGGTGGGGGGGGGGGGGGGGGGCCATAACCATTGGCATGGGGACGCAAGAGGAGCAGGGCTCACTTTCTAGCGCCGGCCACCGCCCCCCCCCCCCCCCCCCCCCCCCCCCCCCCCCACCACCACCACCACCACCACCACCCCCGCCCCCTTCCCCCCGCGCACCCAGCCCCCGCCCCCCCCTCCCCTCCCCTCACCCACGCACCCCAGTGTCTCATAGTGCCTCTGGGTCCCAGGGGGAGGGGGGGGGGGGAAGGGGGGCGGGGTTATGCGCATAGGCCGCCATGCCCGAATGATGGCATCCCCTGGGGCCCCATCGCGCGCGCGTGTTCGCAGCTGTTCGAGGTCGTTCAGCCATGTCCGCATATTGCATATTATCCTCGTTTTGCTTGCTGGCGCTTGCGCCGCTCATCGTGTTCTTCTCGATGGCAGACGAACCATTCAAAGATGCGTTGCAGAAGTTTGGAGCCGCGGCGTGGAACAGTAAAACGGAAATGATGCTTAGCGCCTCCACCAAGGACGCTACGCTCAAGTCGGAGGCCGATGCTCTCGTCGACTCATTGTTGACTAACGATCTGGCGTACACAGAGTGGCTCACGGCAGAAAAAGTGTGCCCTCACGTGAACAATCGTTTCGATTCTATCATTCACCCGCCTCACGCCCATTGGGTTGGAAAAAACATCGCAGTTGACGGGTGGAGTTGGCACGAAGTGCAAGGCAAGGCTCGTGCCATCGAGCGCCCCCCTGGCGCGGCAGCAAAGCAAGATTTGGACAAGGTGCAGGCAACCATCTCAAGTTGTGGCGGTACGCTTGGAGATATCAAGCCGCATGGCCTCAGGGCATTTACAGTAAGTTGTTCCCACACGATGGCGTGGATCTGGGCCGTGGAAAGCGGCGCGAGCCCGACGGCCGATTCGGTGGAATACGCAATCAACGGAAAGCTTAGCAAGGACAGGTTGTGCGAGCTGTCGCCATCGATGTCCCAGCCGTTTGAGAAAGGGCTGCCCTTTGTCATAGTGAGGCACGAAGTAGCTAGTGCGTGCCCGATGATCGCCGCCTTCCTTCAGGAAGCGGGCAACGTCGGCAATCGGATCAGGAAAGACCCATCTATCATGCAAGTTCTCTTCCAACTGCATGCCAGGGCCGTGACGAACACCAAATTGCAGGGCAAGCCGAACTGGGACGGTATAGCCAAACAAATGGATAGCTTTCGGCCCGATCTGGCAGGGCAAATGTCAAATCTTTGTAAGTTTGTGGGGAGCTGGGCGGGCGGGCCGACCCTATCCATCTTAAAGATTTGGACATGTTCGGGAAACAGCTCAAATTCCAGCGCGATCTGTCGCCAGCCACACTTGTTTTGTTCAAGGATCTACCATTTGCCAAGATGCCAAGTTGGATCTTCATGCGTCTTAAAGCGTGCCAGTCGGCGCCCGAAAACTTTGTAGTCAAAGGCGAATGCAAACTATTCAACCGCGTGGACACGCGGGCAATGACTGGCAACCTTATGCCGCATATAACAGAAGCAGTCGCCAGATACACCAAAGGCCGAGATTGGCTGGTCAGCCTTGGCGTCGATGAGGGGGCAATCGCGAAGCATTCAGGCGAGTTCGCAGTGAAGCTGGTCATGCACGTGTGCAGCAAGAGGTCAAAGAGTCGGAAACAGTTCAAGTCAATCGAAGAGATATGCGATGATTTCGTTCGATGCGTGGCCGACGCGGTGAAGGATCCCAAAGTAAAGGCGCCGTGGCAGAGCGAATCCAGTGACAGTGGCAAGTCGGGCGCAGCATTCCGTGAGTTTTCAGGAAATGCATTCGACCCGTCTTCGCTGGCAGCTATGGGGTTCGTTCCGGAGGTGCGCGCGACGACCAGCAGCCGCAAAGGCGAGACATGCAAGTTGGACTCCGTGGGCGCGGAGTGCGTTCTGGTTCTCGTGAACGACAGCGGCAGGATCCCCGTGAAGCTAAAGGTGTCAGCCGCCGATGTGGCCGACAGCTGGTCCACCATCACGCAACCTGAGCATAAGGTGGTCGTTCAAACAAAGGATCTTCAGTCGCCGCATGGCCACTCAGACAGCTTGGCGGAATGCACAAAGGCTGTTGCGAGGCTGGCGCTTGAGAAGGCGTTCATCGAGCACCAGTCGGTAGCGTACAATGGCGGTGGGGATGCAGGTTTCGAGGTGCAGTTGAAACCGCAGAGGTCCGTGTTCACCAAGTCCGCCTATGCGAAAGGTAAGCTCGTGCTGGTCCCTTTCTCGACTTCGGTTTCGGCCCTCTCTAAGGACGGCCCAAATGGCTCCGTCTGCCTAGGCTGCCCTAGGGATGCGTCTGGCAAGGTTCAGGCGTTTGTTTCTCAGCGCTGCGACTACGCGCACGGGGAGACCGTATCGGGCTGCCACTCCAAGGAGGTGGTGCCGTTCGTGGCGCCGTTCTGGTGCGTGAAGCCCGAGGGGGACAGTGCCTCCGCCAACATGCAGGTCAGCCACATCCGCATCCTAGTCGGGGCTGGGAGTAGCCTTTCCGACGGCGGAGACGCCTTCGTGGACGTCCCAGTGTTCACGAACAAGTCCAGCTTGAAGGCTGGCGATGAGTTGAGGGTGTTTGACCAAGATCGGGCAGCCTTGAGCAAGGCCAAAACCAAGAAGAGGGGCGTCGACGCCTCTGGGGGCACGGCGAAGAGACATCGGTAGGCGGTTTGATTTGCATCTTAGGGCGGTTGCGAGCTCTGGTGCATCTATGCGCAGCTTGAGTTACATCCACGTTCCACGTTCGCAGATTTTTCTGTTGCACACGCCAATCTGAGAGTGACGTTGCGCGCGCTCCCAGCAGAGAAAACTATGTATTAATTGTTGGGGTGTGCGTGGTAAGTGCGGGAGGGCGGGGTCAGCTGGGGAGGTCGGAGGAGGGGGGGCGACGAACGATGCGTTGAACATTGCATTCGATGTCTCCGTCATCTGGCATGCCGCGCTCATCCATCTTGGGCGAGCTCTGGTCATCTTGGACGCCTATCGTGCCCTCTTGGACGGCCTTCTGCATGCTGGAAGCCATATTGGAAGCCGTTGCGGTGTTCTGCAGCCCCCATTTTTGGGCTGCGTTCGGCCAGGTTGGTGCGCGGCTGGGACTAGGTAGTTGCGTCGATTCCGCCTTATAGGGATCGCCGCCGACGCGGTGGCATCAGTGGGGCTCCCTGAGGGCTGATGGGGCGGAGAGGGGGGGGGATGGGGGAATGGGGGGGAAGGTGGTGGGCGGGGGTTCCCCCAGAGCCCACTGGAGCCAAATGGGAGCCACCCAGGGTGCTGCAAGAGTGCAAGTAGGGCCCCGTGTGGACCTCAAGCGGGCTCCGAAGCGACCCAAGCGGTGACCACAGCATCGTTTTAATGTTAGTGTGGCCATCCAGGGCTCTTAGGGCTCCTCCTGTGGTTAATTGTGGGCCCCGAGAGTGCTGCAGTGGGATGCCGCATAAAGCAACAGGAAGGCCCCGCGTAGCCCACAATCGGGCCCCGAGGTAGCACAACAGATCACCTTAAACTCGTTTTGGTTTCATGGTGGCCCTCCAGGGTGCTCTTGGGGCCCACAGAGGGTCTCCGCCTAGTCCCCCCAGATCATCTTGGAGCCTATTGGAAGCCCCGAGAGCGCTGCAATGGGGACCCGCAGAACGCTATAAGAGGGCCCCGCGTGGACTCCAAGCGGGCCCCGACGCGACCCAAACGGTCACCTTAACATGCGGGGTCTGTTTAAAGTGACCTGAGTGGTCGCTTCGGTCGATCGATGGCTGTGTTTTGTCAGGGGTGTCTTGTCGACTTACCTACCTATCTGCATGTCTATTGATTCTTGCGTATATCAATATGTGCGCGTAGAAATACATATATACATCCGCCATTACATATGTACATACCATACATATCACGATCTATATATATATATATATATATGTCGATATACATACACATCTATATGCGTGCCTACCGATATACCTACATGTTTTCAGTATTTCGTCACATATTTGTGTATCTACATCCATCACTATATCCATCTGTCCAACGATCGGAACAACAGGGGGAACCCATTCCCGAAGGGGGGGAGAATTTGGCAGGAATGGGGGGCGACCCACACCACCGACGCCCATCTGGGCTGGAGGGGCCAGGCACCCGCTCTCCCTCCCCCTCCCCCACGCCACCGCCGCTGCCACTCCGCAGCCCGTGCTGATCAATCGTTGCGCACGCCACCATGGCCGCCGCCGAGGCCAGTTTTGTCTTGCAAGCTAAGGTGGGCGGCGGTCACATACAGCAAGGCAAGCCGAAATGGAATGCAGAGCTCAAAACTGTCGATGGGGTGTATTTCTTTCATGCTTGCAAGGGCGACCCATCGTTCAAGCGTTTTGTGGGCAATGAGTTGGCCATGGTGGACGCTGTGGTTACTCTTAGAAACGATGCATTCGATACTGCAGTCAATGAGAAGGCGGTCGAGAGTGATCCCTTGGGGGATGCAGATGCGCCTGGCGACCCCCATGGCCAGAAGCGCAAGCGCAAGGAGATGGCAGACGATGTTCCAGCAACGTTCGACGTGGTGGTCAAGACAGCCGAAGGCAACGAGTCCATAGTCAAAGTCCTGTCTGATTGGAACCCCCAGAGCTCTCCATGGATCGAGCTGTCGACCACCAACTTGAACTTGCTGCTGGTGAAGCCCCACCCTTCCCTCGTTGAGTTCGTGCCGACGATCGATGACAAGACTGCGAAGTGGTGGGCGTCTCGCCATTGCGTGTACTGCAGGTACTTCGACGCCGCGAAGCAGAAGACAAGGTTCCACTCCTTGCCCGTCCCCCGCAGCAATGACCCCGACTTCGTGCAGCCCAAGGCTAACGAGGCGACGGCCGCTCTCGCGCAGTTCTGCAAGGACGCCAGCGAAGAATGAATAGTACAACAAAAACAAAACAAAGAAAATAAACAATAACAAACAAGAAAAAGATAAAAAGAAGAAAAAAAAAAGAACAAATAAAAAAAAAATAAAAGCAGAAAAAAAAAGGCCAGAGCCGCCATCGGCAGGTGTCGGTTCGCCCGCAGGTGGCCAGTGAGCGTGGCAGTTGGTTAGCATGGCGCGTGCAGGTTTGTCAGCAGCAGGGCATTGCGAGCGTGCTCGCGAGCTGCCCTCGATGGGGATCACGTGGTAGCCCGATAGGGTGCGAGCTGCCCAGCCGCTAGTTGCTCCCAGACGTTGTGCGCATCAGAGAAGCATCGTCACCATCATCATTCACCATTATCGTCACTATGGGTGGATATGTTGCAACATCGTCGTAACATTCACAATACTCATCACCATGCTCGTCAGCTGTACGACCGTGCACGGCCGCGCAGCTCGCGAGCATGCTCGCGAGCTGCACGTGCCCTCTCCGACTCCCACTCGTACCGCCCCCACTACCATGGACCCCCCATTCCGAGCCATGCTTTAACATGCCATGACTCGCTCTTTCAAGACGGCTCCAAGTGGCGCACGAGAGCTCCAATGAGCCCCACAAGAGGCCCACGTCCTTACAACGCGCAGGGGGAACTATACTGTTTGCAGCGTCTTGGCGTTCCGAGGCCTGGCGGTGGCTCCAATAAGACACAAGATGGCCCCAAGGCATGCCACATAGAGCCCCTAATCTGGCACCGTAATCATCATAACCCCTACCCTGCAGCATCAGCATCGCCACTCCCAGCGCCAGCCTCATCTTGCTCCTCCTCGTCCTCGCCCTCGAGGCCCCCAGTCCCGCTGCCATTTTGGCTAATGAGGCGGCGCGCCCAGCGGGGCCGACCGCGTCCCGATGGAGCGTGGCACAGCCTCCTCGCCCTCGAGCGGGGGCGATGGCGATGGCGCCGCGCGCTCGATGCTCACGCTGATGGTCATGGCGGACATCCTTGCTGCCACGCCGAAGCGAACCTGGGGATGGGGGGTGCGGCGTGCGCAGAGTTCCTCTGGCGAGGTTCGCATCCGCCGATGGGCGAGGCGGCCTGCCGAGACGGCCGCCCCGCCCGCCGAGCCCGCTGCGGCGGCCGCCCAGCCCGACACGCCCAAAGGTAGAGCATGCGAAAAAACAAACAATCAATCACAAAAACAAAAAAAAAACACAAAAAAAAATTCAAACAACAACACATCAACACAAAAAACAAAAAAAAAAAACAAAAAACAAATAACACACACACAAAATCAAAAAAAAACAAAAAATCACAAAAAACCAAAAATCAAAAAACAATCAAAAAAAAAAATTCACAAAAAAATCAAAATCAAAAAACAAACCAAAAAAAAACAACAAAAAAAAATCAAAAAAAAAACCAAGCAAAAACACCAAAAAAAAAAAATCAACAAAATAATACATCACAACAAAACAAATTCGTTCAACAACAAAAAATTCTAAAAAATAACAAAAAAAAAAAAAAATCAAAAAAATCATCAAAAACAAGTACAAACGGCGAGTGGCCCTACACCTCTGGCACCGGACACCCCCCCTGGCGATCCTCCGCCAACCCACCTATGGCGAGACCGCGACCGCCCTGCGCCGAGGCCGCCAACCGTGCCTCCGCCGCCGCCGCCACCGCGCGGAGGCACCGACGCCGCCACTACCGACGCCGACTTCGAGTGGAAGCGCGCCCAGACGGCACGGGCTTTCATGGGCCGCATCTGGGACGAGCAGGAGAAGGACACGGGCGGCCACTACCAGGAGCAGCCACAGGACCAGGAGCAGGACACGAGCGGCCACGGCAAGGAGCAGGACACGATCGGCCACGACCAGGAGCAGGACGAGCGAGGCGGCCACGACCAGGAGCAGGACACAGCGCAGCAGCAGGACGACGGCCGCGGCGCGCTGGAGCAGCACTCGTACAAGTACACGGATGAGGACTGGTGGTGGCGCTGGGGCGACACCGCGCAGGGCGACGGGTGGGGCGGCCGCGCGCGTGACGCGCGGGGCGGCTCCATGGATGGCTACTGGCGGCTCCAGGACAACAAGTGGGTCTTCTACGACGCGCAGGGCGAGTGGAGCTACCAGCAGGACGAGTGGGCCTACTCGCAAGGCGAGTGGGGCTACCCGCAGGACGGCTACCCGCAGGGCGGCTACCCGCAGGACATGACGGGCTACTCAGATGCCCAGGGCGACGACCCGCAGGATGACGAGTGGGGCTACCCGCAGGACAGCGCAGGCGGCAACCAGCAGGGCGATGGAGGCGGCTACAACGATGGCGAGGGGTGGGCCAAGCAGCACGGCCATCGCGCGACGGGTGCTGCGAGCAGCTCGAGCACCACTGCGGTCACCGTCAATGGCAAGTACAGGATCGACCAGGGCGCGATCATCGAGACCATGAAGCGCATGCGCGAGGACGAGGTTCGTCGTCGTCGTCGCCGACGTCGACGCCAATCGCGACGACAGCGGCGACGACGACGACGGCGACGGCGGTGGCGGCGGCGACGACGACGACGGCGACGGCGACGACGGCGACGGCGACGGCGATGACGACGACGGCGACGGCTACGGCGACGGCGACGGCGGCGGCGACGCCGACGACGACGGCCCGCAGGTTGCCGACGACCTGGCCGCCGACGGCGACGCCGCTGGGGGCGACGACGTGAAGCGGCAGGTCCGCAAGGCGCGCATGCGCGGGGGGCGGGTCGTCAACACTCGGCGCCTCAAGAAGGCCCTGGCCGAGCTCGGTGCGCTCTGAGTGGGCCCGCGCACCGCACTCTGCTGCGCGCGTGCGCGCGGCTGTCGGCACGTTTGTTGAGAGGCGCGTTGCGCCGCTCAGCCGCCCTCCATCGCGTGCAGGGCTTCGGGCTGTGCTATCGTGACAAATGCGCGGGCGGCGTGTTGGGTGGGTGGGTGGGCACACGGGCGTCATGATAGATCATGGGCGGGCAGTTCTTTCAGTTGGCGACTTCTCTGGGGCACCGAGTCATGAAGCATACCAGATGTTACGATTCGCTACCGCTGACACGTGACAAATGTTACGATCTGCCACCACTGAATCGTAACATATGTTACGATCTGCCGCCGCTGAAACGTAACATATGTTACGATTTGCGCCCCACGATTCGTAACATTTCATATGAGGTGCACAAACAACGCGATGTTACGAATCGCACCCCCCGAAACGTAACACATGTTACGTTTTGGGCCCCCTAAAACGTAACATATGTTACGTTTTGGCACCGCCCAATCGTAACATTGCAACCTCGCTCGCCGTTGGCCTCGCTCGCGGCATCGTCACCCTCAAACCCTCATCATCCAGAGTGTTTGGCCGCCCTCCTCATACCCACTCCATATACACTCGCGGGCGCTGGCCCGATGTCGCCAGCCGTGCGTGGATTTGCCAGCGGGTGCGTCGGGGGAACACTCGGCGCGCCGCAGCAGTTGTGGCTCGAGTGTTCAGGCTTGGTCTCAGCTTTTTTTTGTTTTCGTGTGCGAGGGTGGCATCGATGGCGGCCGCTGTTCCCCATGCGCAGCAAGTGGTTGAAGGGCTCGTTACGCAGCTGAACCAGCGCTCGGAGATCGTTACGTTGCAGCGCTCCGTTGGCCTCGACGTGTCCGACTCTCAGGCCAGCGCCTTCGTAGCCCACCTCAGCCAGATGTCCGTGAGCTTGGATGGCGCCGCCCGCCTGACGCGCCAGGCTAAGCTGGGGCCCTGGTCCAGCAGCCAGATGGCAAACATCGCGGCCGCGGTCAACGCCGCCGCAGAACGCACCGACCCTTCGGGTGGCACGCGGCCGCCGCAGACATGCGACCCCTTGGAGAGGTATTTCACGCAGCAGCTTCACGATTACTTCAAGAGTGATGTCATCGATGTTGATATTGCTACCCGCATGGTGGCCGTGCAGCTGTACAAACTGGGGCTGGTCTGCCCTTCGAACCAGGTGCTGAAGCGCGCGACGAGCATCATCCAGTTGGCTGGGCTCAAGGTGACGACCATGGGCGCGGGCAGCCAGTCGAACATCGGAAAGAATATCAGGAGCTACGTCAAGAGCTTGGACAAGGATAAGAAGTTCCCGCTGGCACACATCCTCGTGCATCCAGCTGACCCGTCGGCGTTGCCCGCTGCCCACCTGCAGCATGCTTACGGTGACAGTCAGCCCGTGCCGTTCGTGATTGAGGGTCTGCCTTGCGCGACGGCGTCCTGCGCCTACCGCGAGTCCAAGAAAGGTGTGAAGGAGCAGGGCAGCGCAGTTGTCCCCTACGGCACTTCCACGGAGCAGATGATGGCAACGGCGGTGACTTCGGCGATTGCCCCCCTCGCGCAGGTCATGCAGCAGGCGATGGGGACCATCCCTGGGTTGCAGATCTTCGGGGCCCCGAAGATGGTGCAGCGTCGCGCGCCCCAGGTGGACTGGCCGCGGCGGCGGCCGACCCGCTGGCTGCGCTGGCGCCTCGGGCGGGGACGGCGTCTTCGCTTTCGCCGTCTGCGCCGACGCCTTCGTCTGTGCACCCTTCCATGCTGGGAGACTCCCCGCCCATCGCCGCCGTCGCTCGGGAGTACGACCCAGTTGAGGACCTGGAGCAGGCCGTCAGAGATGCAGCCGAGACGGCCAAGCTGCGCAAGCGCAGGACCACGGCTGAGGCAGCGGCCGACGGTGCGCCGAAAGCAAAGGCAAAAGCAAAGGCCAAGGGCAAGGGGGGGCTCAAATCCAAGGTCACGAAGAAGGAGGGCAAGGCTAGGAGTCGCCGACGTTCTCGCTGCCGCGGCTACGGCTCGCACAGGCGGCAAGGCCGCTGGCGCCGCCGCGCAGACTGGCGCCGCCAGGAAGAGGCCAGCTGCGGCCGTCGTCAAGCTCTGCGCCTCCGACTTCCGCTCCGAGGCCACGTGCAAGGCCACCTACCACAAGGGGAAGAACGACTGGACTTCGAGGGCGTACGGAATCGCCAAGAGGCGGTGCTTGTCGAGTGGCATGGGCGAGGACGAGGCGAAGGACGTTGCGAAGGAGGTCTACCACGTGGCGCTGAAGTCGTACGAGCGTGTATTCGGGAAGTAGGCCGCACGTCTCAGTGAACGCCTGTTGTGGCGACGATCGCGCGCCCCAGCTGAGCTTGCTCGCTTGCCGCGCCAACTTACTACTTGAGCAGACGAATTCGATTTGTATGTAGCCCCAGTCTGTTCGACGCGTTGCTTCCCGAGGCGGCCGCGGCCGCCGCTCATGCCCCTCCTCAGCGCCCCCGCCCACCTGCTGATCCCAATCTTCGCCCCTCCGTATCGGCATCCTCCTCAACATCCCCCTTCTCCTCCCCCTCCTCCTCATCGCCCTGGCGTCCCCCATCTTACCACCGAAGTCCCAGCCCCGCTTCAGAACCCATCCTCCTCCGCCCCTGCGCCAACTCCCCCCCCGCAGCATTCCTCCGCGTGCTGACTTTGCTAGGACTGGCACCGCGGGGCTATAGAAGCAGCCGTTGTGGACTTCACTCGCAGGCACGATGCTTCGCAAGATTGATGCATGCACCCAGCCACCCCTCGCAAAATAGTGCATCGCCAGCGCTCGCCTTCATGTAGCCATCGGCCACAATGGCAATGCCACAACCGACTGTCACCATCACGATGGCCATCGTCATCATCCATGTCATCGGGGATGCCTCAGGCGAAACGCTCGTGGTGAACATGGTGGGGCCCCCATGCGCTATGGCCCCGCCCCCGCGGGTGGCGGTGGCGGGGCAGGTGATGGTTGCATTTGCTTCCGTAGCCGTTTTGGCTCGAACTGCGTTCATATTTGTTCGTTCGGCGCTGTTGCGCGTAGTCGCATGCCAGCGCCGCCATCTGCGGCAATGCACCCCGTGCCCTCTGCAGGGCCGCGGCACACGCCATCGGAACTCCGAAGCGCTGGTCCTCAGTCGGGAGAAGCGCCCGATGCTGAGCCCGCCGATGTCCATGACGGCGGAGACCACAGCGAGAGCGGCAAAGTTGGCACCCCCTCTTCGGCAGCGGCAGCCTCTGAGGAAGGAAGCGGCGGTGGCGACCCTCCCCGCTTCGCCCCGACTAAGGAGACTCGGAAGCGGGAACTCGAGCACGAGTGGCCGTCGCTCGACGACGCCAGCATGCCAAAGGAGGTCAGGGAGCAGTTTCTCAGGATGCAGGCCGAGGACATCCCGACAAACCCTGCCTTTCAGGGCGCCCGTGCAGCGAGGCCTACATTCAAGGTTCGGTACATTATCACCGACGGCTACGACAGCGATTAGAGCGGGGACGGGCAACGGCGTTTGGCCGTGTCGTGCCATGGAGTGCAGAACGGCAGCGGCGTTTGGCCGCGTGGTGGCACGGCCGACGGGGTGCAGCAGGGGGTGCAGCAGGGCCGACGGCATCGGTAGTAATCAAAGTGCAGTCTTCCCGTGCAGGGTGCAGCGGCTGTTGGCCGTGCCGTGACAACGGCGTTTGGCCGTGTCGGTTGGCGTGCGCAGCGAGTGTGGTGCAGCTGTGGCATTATGCGTTCGGGTGGTGTTGCGCCGCGCCTGCTTGAAAAAGCGACTCGCCTCCAGAGTATACCATCCACCTCCCGCCCCCAAACCACCAACAGAGGCATATATATATATATAAACAGATAAGCAGACATACATACATATATACATATATATATATGTATGTATATATATACCGATCTGATCTATGGGTAGACATGTAAAAAGATAGATACGTAGATCGCCCAACCGCCGCCCACCCGCCCACCCACCGCCAACCCGCCCGCCACCCACCCACCACCCACCACCCGCCCACCCGCCCACCGCCCACCCGCCCACCCAACACCCACCCACCACCCACCCAACCCACCCACCACCCACCCACCACCCACCCACTGACCACCCACCCACCACCCACCCACCACCCACCCACCCACCCACCCACGCCACCCACCCACCCACACTTGGAGGCTGGGCAGTACGCATATGCAATGGGCAATGTAAGGTAAATGCCGAGCTATCTGAATCCACCCGTCCTGGGAGCTACCCAGCGCTATTCTGGCAACCGTCGGGCTATCTACAATGCACTATGCGAGCATGCTCGCGTGGGGCCCAACCCATGCGTGGGGCCCAACCCAGTCCAATCAGTGCTTGGCGCTTCGCATATTTCCACCGACCCATACAGAAAGGGCGCCCAGGCGAGTTGAGGTGCGAGGAGGGTAGTGTAAGAGCAACGAGGGGGGCACCCGAACCGTTTGCAGGTGGAGGTTGAGAAGGAAGAGGAAGGATTGATGAGAGAGGAGAGCGACGTGTTATGAATAACATGATGGGCGATGATGAGAAGGAGTGGGAGGGGGAGGAGGATTGAGGATTGAGGAGGGGGGGGGGGGGCGATCAAGATGGCCAGAGGCATCTCGGATGCCTGGCCGCCGACGCCAGGCGACGATGCTTGCGCACGCTTTGGGCGCATTCCCCAAGAGGCGCACCCCTGCAAGGCACCCCCGCAGTCAGGATTGTCAGAAGCAACATCGCACACAGGCGCACGTTTGCGGGGGATGCGGCGACGCTTGCGCGCACTATGGACGCTAGCCCCAAGGGGCGTATGCAATAACTCATTGATTACTTGGGCATCTGTGGCCCTATTGGGCAATCTTGGAGCCATCTTGTGGCCTCGAAAGGCCCCCATCGCTCTCCCTGAACCCGAGTCGGGCCCGTCGGCGGGCCCAGAACGTGTTCGGCCCTCTCTAGGCAGTCAGTGTTATTTTCAAGCCGTTGCAGGATGTTGGCCTCTCGGAGGCCTTTGAGGTTTCGGTGGCCACTTGTAGCCAGCCGCATTGAGACTTTCTGGGGGCATTGTCGAGCATCTTGGGGTGCATCTTGAGGCGTATTAGGGAATCGCGAGCCATCTTGAAAGATCGTCTTCGGGCCCCTGAGGCACCCTTGGAGCCGCCACTCGCGAACA